TCTGAAGCAGAGACCATTAGCATATATGTAATAGATTAAAAACCTACGCATAGATATACTCAGGGAAATATTTTACAGGAAGAAGGACTGAGGACTACGGAAGAAGGGGAGACGATGGACTGCTTTAAAAGCAACATGCAATTTTAGTCAGGTAAGTAGTGTCTAAGTGCACTGGATTTAACCATCAAGTCATCGCTGTAGTTGGCCATCCGGGTGGAACACAGAACAACTATTCATTAAAGAATGACAGAGAGGATGGAAGAAGAGGTAAATGGCTGAGTTACTTCATACCGTGTAGCCCTTCTACAGCTCACCCAAGAAAACAAAACCAAAATAGGAACATAAGAGCCCGGTGGGGTAGCGCTCTGGGCACGTAGCAATTGGTGGAGGTGCATCCATTGTGAAGTCAGCGGAGGTTCGCTGGGCTTGCAAATAAAAATGTTTATAATTCCCCAAAGAATTTTCTAAGACCAGCTCTGTGAAACAAAGTGTGCTATTGGATGTCCCATTAAATGAAACAAAGATTCCCTATAGGCAACCTTAGGGGCATGTAACATTTGCTCTCAATCATAAGAATTGATAGTGAAAATGCACTCTCCATGGAGCAGGACATGTCATAACACACCATTTGGCTATTTGAAAAACATCAAATACATAAATCAGTGTCCAAAAAGAACTGTGCAAAACCGGCAGTATATGGACAAGAAATCTCTGGGCAGCTCTGTGATTCTAGCACTAGTTTGTCCACTAATAGGGCGATATGTTCATAATTTATTCAAAGGCAACACTTAAAATCATTTCGAGGCAGCATTTCAGGGGCTTTAGATCAAATAATTTGATAATGTATGCATCTGTCCCATTTGTCAGTAAAATGACCCCTTTGTTCTTTAATAAATACAACTTCAAAGTTAGTGTCTTTATCATCTAGTTTTTTTAAGTATTTATCTGTAACAAATCCTATAAATATTTTCAAATCTGCAAATGTATAGACTGTTAATTTAAAAATTTCATATGGAATTTTTGGCTAGTAGTTAGGTATATGGATTTTTTTTATGATTTATTTACGGAGAGAAAGGGAGAGAGCCCACAAGCCGGCAGGGGTGGGGGGCCGGGAGGGCAGAGGGAGAGGGAGAGAATCCCAAGCAGACTCCACCCTGAGCAAGAAGTCCCACCTGGGGCTTGATCTCAAGACCCTGAGATCATGACCTGTGCTGAAATCAATAGACGCTTAACCAACTGTGCCATCCAGGTGCCCCTTGGTATTTAGGAACATGTATTAGAGAATGAAGAACCGCTGACTCACTTATCCATTCGAAAATTCATTGTTTCTTATTCACTACGTGTCACAGAACCGTTAGAGGGGCCGAGGAGGTACAAAGATGAAAACGACATGTTATTGGCTCTCTTGTTTATGACTGTTGGGAAAACTGCAAAAAAAAAAAATCATAGGGAAAGCTAAAATGCAGCCAATAATTATGGGGTATCAAAAGAAGGATATGTAGAGAGGAACCAGAGGAACAATGAAAACACGTCTTAAATGACAAATACTAAATAGTCAAAGAATTGAGTAGGCTGGTAGAGTTTATTTCGCCTTTGCAAGTCACACCGTGGTGGACATTTGTTAATTCTGTCCCCAGTGTCACTACAGGCCATTCCCAGCCATGAGTTTGGGTGGGGTTGCCCCTCGGCAGCTCCAGGGAGAGGCCTTGGGGGGCTCATGGATAACAGGTACTCACAAAGACTGGCTCAGGAAAGGACACAGGGTGAAGTGATGGCTCTTAGGGCTTTGGGGGGCAGAAAGGTGTCTTCTTGTTTGGGTGTTCATAGTGAGACTCTCTTTTTAAGTGGACAAGGGTGAGAAAGGATGAAGCCCAAGGGGCTGGTTGCAGCCATCCGTCACCAGTGAGAAAAGAGCCTGCCTCAACAGGGAAGTAGCACTGAAGAGGCATAGCTGGAAAATGGGGAGACTGGGCCCTCGTAATATTGGTGAGCCCTGAACCAAGTCACGCTTCCTGGTTTTGTGAACAAATTCCTTTTAAGGCCACCAGATTAAGTTGTGAGACCCGTATCTTCCAACCTAGAGAAGCCTAACGTAACTATTTAAAAATTAAGATAGGTGAAGCTTAGGGGGAATGCATTTCTTTGAATTCCTCTCCTCCTCCTCCTCCCCAAAATGACCAGTAGGTTCGGTATCAACATAAACATGTCAAAGGATGGGAAGGATTATAAAATATATACGATCTCATGTTACATGCAGACGCATGACACAAAATAGCTCTTTCTAGAGCAAATCTGGATGTAAAGGCCTTGCAACTCAAGGGAGGACTACTTTACCATGCGAAGGCAGAACGTTACACCCCTACTCCCATATAGTTCTGTCTATGGTGAGCGTAGAGGATCTAAGAAAATGTACACACCCAAGCCCTGAGGAGGCTTTTTTAAAGCAAGAGACCGAATGAATGAAACTTAACTTGATGTGAAATGACCCTGACCCTAAAGTATGAAGATCAAATGAAAACTGAAAGAGGCAGATAATCTATTCAGTGCCTAAATGATACCCAGTTATTAAATGTTCGGAAATTATTCGTAATAATACATTTTACTGAACTCTTACTTAGACCTCTGTCATTTTATTTTATTTTTAAAGATTTTATTTATTTATTCATGAGAGACACACAGAGAGAGAGCGAGGCAGAGACACAGGCAGAGGGAGAAGCAGGCTCCATGCAGAAGCCCGATGTGGGACTTGATCCCGGGACCCTAGGATCATGCCTTGGACCAAAGGCAGGCGCTAAACCGCTGAGCCATCCAGGGATCCCCTGTCATTTTATTTTAAAAATAAAGTCTACGAGGATGTACACACAGGTAACCTGTGAACAGTACGGAAGAGCTTTCTCAGCTGTTTTGTGCCCAGAGGCCTTAACTGAAAAGGAAGATTTTTAAAAATAGATTTTATTTATTTATGATAGACAGAGATACAGAGAGAGGCAGACACAGGCAGAGGGAGAAGCAGGCACCATGCAGGGAGCCCGGTGTGGGACTCGATCCCGGGACCCCAGGATCAGGCCCTGGGCCAAAGGCAGGTGCTACACCGCTGAGCCACCCAGGGATCCCAGATTTTTTTTTTTTTAAAGACTTATTTGGGCAGCCCGGGTGGCTCAGCGGTGTAGCACCTCCTTCAGTCCAGGGCCTGATCCTGGGGTCCCGGGATCGAGTCCCACGTCGGGCTCCCTGCATGGAGCCTGCTTCTCCCTCTGCCTGTGTATCTGCCTCTCTCTCTCTCTCTCTGTGTGTGTGTGTCTCTCATGAATAAATAAATAAAATTTAAAAAAGAAATAATTATAGATTCACAAAAAGTTGCAAAGATATAGAGAGGTTCCTTCTACTCGGTTTTCCCCAGTGGTTGCATCTTACATCCTTACAACACAAAAACCAGGAATTTGACATGGGAACAAGGTGTATAGTCCATGTGTAGACATGTGTGACCATCATGATCAGATCACAGAACTACTGGGGCGACCTGGGGGGCTCAGTGGTTTAGTGCTGCCCTCGGGCCGGGGTGTGATCCTGGAGACCTGGGATCGAGTCCCATGTCGAGCTCCCTGCCTGTGTCTCTGCCTGTCTCTTTGTGTGTCTCACGAATAAGTAAATAAAATCTTAAAAAAAAAAAAAGGAATACAGAACTATTTTATTAACACAAAGATTTCCCTTGCTCTGCTCTTTACATTCACACCCACCCCATCCCTCAGTACAAAGGCCTTGTAACTCCGTTGTAAGATGAGTATTTGTTTTCTATTTGAACCTGGTCCAGTCTGTTTTCATTTCTGTAAAACACCGTTCCCATCCTTTGTTCCCATCCTTTGAATTCATGTCACGCTTAATAGGTCCTCAGCCTCGATTTCTTTTTCTTTCTTTCTTTCTTTCTTTCTTTCTTTCTTTCTTTCTTTCTTTCTTTCTTTTCTTTCTTTCTTTCTTTCTTTCTTTCTTTCTTTCTTTCTTTCTTTCTTTCTTTCTTTCTTTTTTCTTATCCTCAATTTCAGAGACAATGCAATCAACCCGCTCCTCCACTTATTTGCCTTATATTCCAGAATCCGGTTCGGGAGAAGACACACAAGTACACCTGACCTGGGGTGCACTCCCTTCTCAAGTCTGGGCCCACTTTTTCCTGCCTTTTTGCTAAGGGTCCCTCTTTGGTTTTCCTGGTTTCAGGCTCTTTTCTCACCTCACTGGCAAGTCTCCAGACCCTGATACCCTAATAATTCATTATTCCAACATAAAGGAACCAGATTTCCAAAACAGGACTGACTCCACGAATTCATTGATTCGCTGGGAGATTCACAGTGGACCAACAGGGTCGGTTCCACCCACTGAGAAAATTCGAAATACACTGGCAGGGTTGCATGCAGATATTTAAAAAAGAAAGAGAGAGAGTGATGGCCCTATGGTGGCTTAGTGGGACTTCGGTGCAGCTCAGGAAATGTGTGGGCCACAGGGCTCAACCGTGGCCCTCAAGTCTTCAAACCCGAAGGGCACTTAGGGGCGCTTGCTCTCCGACCGCCTTCCCCGGAGCGCGGGGCGCGGGCGGGGGGCGGCGGGCGGGGCGGGGGGGGGGGGAGGTCGCTCCGCTCCAACACCTGCCGCCGCCTCCCGGCCCTGCCTGCGCTCGCTTCCCCCCCGTGCAGTCCTGCGGGGGGGGGGGCCCGGGGCAACGTCTACCTCGCAGACAGGAGCCACGACTGCAGATTGGATGTTGCCAATACCGAGCCACGCGGAAACGCCGCCTTCCCCGAGCGGCCGCGCCTGCCCTGCGCCCCCGCCTGGGCCCCGCGCTCCCGCCTTCCCGCGGCCCCTGCGGGCGCTGCCGCGGCGCCGGGCATCACCGCACTCCCCCGCGCGCGCCGAGGCCCGCGGAATCCCGAGACCTCAGGCCCGCCCTCCGCGCGGCTTCGGGGCCGCCTCCGCCCGCCCCGCGCCCCCGGCCTCTCCCGCCGCCCGCGGCCATGGCGGCCCGGCGGGGCCCGGCGCTCGCGCTCGCGCTCGCCAGCCTCGGACGGCGGCCGCCCGCGCCGCTCGGGGTCGGAGGCCGGTGCCCGCGGGCCCGCGGCGCGGCCCTGTGCTCCGCTCCCGGGGGAGACCGCGGAGGCCCCGCGCCCCGCTCGCCGGAAGGACCGGCCGGCGCGGAGAGGCGCCCGGCGAGCGAAGAGTTAACGGCGGCCGAGCGGCGGATCGCGGACCTGCACGCCGCCGCCTGCGCGGTGAGGCCCCGCCCCCAGCCCCGCCCACCCGGCTTCGGGCCCCGCCCACCCGGCCTGCCCCGCCGGGCTTCGGCCCCGCCCACCCGACTCCGGCCACGCCCACCCGGCTCCGGCTCCGACTCCGGCTCCGGCTCCGGCCCCGCCCCGGGCCCCGTGCGCCTGCGCGCCGCCGGCCGCGGGGGAGGTCGCTGGAAGCCCGCGCCCTGCTCCCTCCGGCTTCCGACGAGCCCTCGCGCTTCCCGCTCCGACCCTCAGTTCCCTCTAATGGGCAAAGAGCTAACGCGCGTCTGCATTAAATGTGGGTCCTTTGTAATCAGCGGCCGAGCTAAACTCCGGTCCCAGTTTGGGCCCCATCAGGACGGCGTGTGCGCGTGTGCGCGCGCTGGGGGGGTCCCAGGGCGTTGGTGGAGGACGCAGAGCACCTGAGAAGTCACGGGAGAAATAGGCTGTGTGTTTGTACTCTCAGTTAAACATTTAGCCATCCAATGATACTAATAATGCAAATATTTTCTCTTTTTTTAATGCAAAATTTAAAAAAAAAACTTAATTTTTGCTTCTATCCGTTCGTCCCTTCTCTCCACCCTAACAGCACAGCTGTAAAGGAAACTCTAATCAGGCACTTGCATTCTTCCCAGACCCATCTTGAGCTCCCTTGTCTTCTGTTTGGAGGGTCAGGCCATCACTTACCAGTACCAATATCACCATCATCTCCCCCCAGGGTTGCTAACACCTCAGACTGTATCAGTTTGAAGGGAGCATTTTCATTCTCTTGAGAGAGCAAAAGATTTGTAGCATGAAGATGTAGAAAACGATGCAAAAGTAACCTATTTAATGCACTCTGTGTGACCAGTATTTGATGTCTGGTGTAGGTACAGTTACCTGGTGATGCTTGAGCCAAGGGAGTAGAGAACCTTGGAGATTTTCTAAAATTCTAATCTCCCCCCCCCCCTCCCCAGGCCCACTGCCAGTGAGTAGGCCCTGGAAATCCACTGTTTGGCTCATGGAAACGTTGAAACCTCTGCATAAAGATTCATCAGGAAATGACTGGCAGCTTTTGATTGATCTGTTTATAGTCGGTTAAAATAACGTGTACTTTGTTGCCAATCATCACCATATACTAGGGCGAATATATGCAAAAGTTTCATTCTTTATAGAGCAAAGAGCAGTGGCGTGTGAAGACTGGTCAGTCAGCCTGGGAAAGGAGAGGGATTTTTTTTCTCACTTAAGAAACCCACACTTGTTTCAGCTGTGTCGGTATCACAGGTGAAGTAGCTATCTTGGGGACCAGAAGTGAATATGAAAACAAGTCTGTGGTTTTGCTTTTTCAACAAATCAGAGCCCCCCACCCTACCCCGTCTTGTCCCCACACCTCCAGGCAGATGGGTCTCTTACCTTTCTCCCGGTGCTGATCTGCATCACTGGACCTCTTGTTTGCCAGCCACCGTCAGCATTCTGGTCACATCTTTGTTGCCACTATTACTTTAGGCTCCTTTCCTGGGGACAAATGAAGTTTGTGTGGGCAGCCTACAAGCTCAAAGTTTTGCAGTCAACACGGAGAGCAGGAGAGGCAGCACAAATGCAGGAGCAGTCTGTTCGTTAGGCTTGCAGGTTGCTAGATAATTGCCCTCAGAAGACTCTCAGAAACTATGAAAAGTGAAAAGAAGGCTGCTAACAGAACCCCCAGTGTTTGCTGGGTTTTCTTCCAAATCTTCAAACACAGGTTTCACAAGTAAAGAAGTAAGGTCTTGACAATTGGTCATTCTCAAGTAGTGTTTAGTGCCCCTGGTTTCGTGTCATCTGCTTCTGTGGTCCCCAAAGATTTGAGCGGCCCTATGGACTGACCTTGACACTTGCTTGCTGGATTTCTGCTGCCTGGGTCTGGCTTTGCTGGAATACCTTAGGCTAAGACCTAGACTTGAACTCTATATGTCTTTTTGCTTCCTGCCTCATTCATGGAGCACAGTTGGTTAAATTTTCAAGCAGATCAAAATCGTTAGCCATTAAGGAAGACACCCTGAAGAAGTAACTTGTGGCACATACAAAAATATGTTAGAAGACATTCACACGCCATGCATATTTTCACAAAAAGGTTCCATGCAAGAGTGATGCGGAGTTACTTCACGGTAAAAGGGTTATATAAAAAGCCCAAGAGACAGTTCCTCTACAGAATCTCAAGGATAAATATCACCCACATGGCCCAAATCCATCGAATAGGCTGCATTATTTCCTTTGCCTTCACACAGTGTACTTGGGATACTTAAAAAAACAAAACAAAACAAAACGTGTTTGAATGTCAGTAGAGTATGCTTCCTTGACATCTGAAGTGGTAAAGTAGTAAAAGTTACTTTTGATCAAACTTTGTGAAAGCAACGAGTGTTAATATGTTAAAACAATACTTTTTTTTACTTAAAAACAGAACTAACAACCGTCCCCCAAAAAGAAAATAGTGTAAAATGTGCCATGGAGTAACACATCATGAAGGTAAAGAAAAGTGTTCAATAATAGCAAGGTAATACTTTTCTGTAAGGACTGTTGGTTTTGATTAGCACCTTTTCTGTAAGTTTAAATCATTATCCACATATTTTAAGTACTGAAATTGCAACTGCAACTTCTGAGTGAAAGTTCATTTTCAGCCTCTTAAGCTCTTAAAGTCGTCTAAATCACCTGTTATTAAACTTGTTACCTAGAAACTGAATGAAAAATACCTGAGCAGTGGCTACGTAGTTATTGGGTATAGAGGAGTTCTTGTTTTTCCATCAACTTCTCATTTTTCTCAAACTGTATATTTTCTCCTTATGTCACATGAAGTTGGATTGTATATAATGTTGGAATGCGTTCAGCCTTTAATTGCAAGTGCCACCAAAATTGCTGGGAAGAAGTTCAATATTGTTTAAAGAAAATGTTTGCCGTGTTTTATGAGTAGAAATTATGGTGAGGAGATATGGTGAATATTGAGATTAATGAATTGTTTTATTTCATTATTCTTCAGGCTGGCCAGTTAAACTATGTGGATCCAGCTACTGGCTATGTTGTGCTCACGCAGCTCGCCCACTTGGAGAGAGGTGAATGCTGTGGCTCTGCCTGCAGACACGTGAGTAGCAAATTCTCGCATTACAGCAGCAGTTTTCCGTGCTTCTGTAGCTTTGTAAATACCTATTATTTGAAAAACAAGTCAAATAAAAAAGCTAAATAGACCTGGAGTGCACTTTTCACAAGCTACTTCAGCCAAGGACAATGAAGTCCTTAGGACCAACATAGGACCTTTAAAGTTAATGGAATTTTGTAGCATTTCACTGTGAGCATCAGCTCCTTGAAATGCTGTGATTTGAAATTCATGGGAGTTCTTTATTACAGGGAAACTTTTCACGAGGTTTCAAGTAAGTCCCGTTCACTAGGCAAGTACAGAGAGGGCAGGAAAAGAAATCCAGAATATTACAAACTAGATCACAGAAGGCGTTTTTGTCTTCACTAGTAGCTGAATAAATAGAAATTTGACCAGCATTGGGAAGTGGTTTTCCTTTAAATGATAATGATTCCTCCTTTCCTCCCTCCCTTCCGCCCTTTCCCCCTCCTTTCCTCCCTTCCTTTCTTTTCTTCTTCCCTTCCTTCTCTCTCTCTCTCTCTCTCTCTCTCTCTCTCTCTCTCTCTCTCTCTCTCTCTCTCTCTCCTCTCTCTCATTCTTCCCGTGGCTGTTCTGTACTCTAGCTTAAAAACAAACATGGTTAACCTACCCCAAACTTAGTGGTGGACATTTCCTAAAATGTATATTTCAGTGGATCTATCTCTGTGTTCACTGATGAAGATGAACTAATCCTTCCCTATCTTGAGCAAGGAAAAGAAATAGGATCGGGTTTGTCACTCTAACTTTTTAAAGGCATAGTAGTAAGGTAAATTGTTACAGCGTTGAGGTTATAAACAGGTAACAACCTCTGTTTACAGACCACTTGGACTCTACGTTGGGCAGCAAGAAGGCATTATTTCCTTTAACTGACCCACTTGACAATTAAGGACTAAGCACTAAATGCATAGGTTGGTTGTAGCCAGTATTGAAAAATTAAGCCTTCACTTTTATGTGTGTTCCTACCTGTGCCCTTAGCTGTTTCTAATCAAATGCATAAGAGCTTTGCGTAAATTGAGGACTTGAGAATTTTCTCAGAGTGAGTTTTTGACAGTAGAACTCTTAAAGTTGGAAGGATGCATTTAGGAAGTGATTCTTGGACCCTAATTAGGACCATTTGCCAGAGGTTGCCATTATTCTCCTCTTAGTCTGCAGGACCCAATAGATCAAATGATCTACATAACATGATTAGCAGGCTCCTTTTCCACCATGAGAAGTGTTGTACTTTTTTCAAGATGCTTGTGATATAATTTAACCATAGTTTGCTTTATTTCTTCCGCAGTGTCCCTATGGTCAAGTCAATGTTAAAGACCCATCTAAAAGGAAGAAATTCAATTCGTATTTTTATGTTTGACCACAACTGCATCTCTGTTCTCCATCTGATTGAGCCTAGATTTAAAAACAAACACCCTGATCCAGAACTGCTCTGAGTGCTGTGAGTGCTTGAGCACTAGTTTAATCATAAGTACATATATTAAAAGAACATCAATAAAATGAAAAAGCTAGCAAATGTTTGTGTGTTTCTGAAGTGGCACATTGATAGTTATTTTCCTTTCTTTTTGCTTCATTATCAGACACATATGTTGAAGAAAGAAAATAATGACTGTTCCATTAAATAAATAGAAGCAATCGGGTCACATTAGTCGCTCTCGATTTTTCTTATAGCCTCCGTTCGCCTACTGTTTTCTCCTCCGTGTTAGCAACCCAAGGGATGTTGCTGGCAAATACAAGAGTTTGAATGCATTCTTCATTTTATTTATATCTTGAGCTATAAGAAGATTGATATAATGCTATATTGTGCAGCATATGAGTGCCCAAGAAGTGCCATTCTGCTTCAAGAAATGCTCTCATCTTCCATCTGTTCTCTCAATAAAAACTCTAAATCATTCTGACTTGGAGGTCAGGCCGCATACGATGCCTCTGATTAGACCATTCTCACTTCTCTCCCCCACAGTTTCCTTCTCCTTGTCTTATGGCACTTCCCAGACAAGTCTGTCTTAGGACATTTTATTATCTTTATACCCATTCCATTCACCGCAGTGACACCTTTGGGCATCAGTATCCAACCTGGGTTAGGAGCCCACGGGGACTACTGTTTCTGCACTTTCTTCCCTGCTTCCCTCTGAGGACAATGGCCCTGGAAAGCCTTTGCCTTACCGGTGGAAGCTGTTCAGTAAAATGAGGCTGCTGCCCATTGGCAGGCTGCCTCTACGCAGAGCTGACCCTCAGCCTTTCCTCCCAATAGAACCTGAAAGGCTCTCAAACATCTCAGGGGCCTTCCTTAGTCTCTGCCTGTGGCCTGAATATGAGTTTTAGAGATCTGAAGCGACCAAAAGATTCTGGTGCTTTCTCACATATTAAAGTAAAAGCCATTCTAAACTATCAAGTAAGTGAAAAAGAAGCCCAGCAAAGTTCGGATTTTCCCCCTTGATTGTGATTTATGTTGTTATTTGCATGTCAAATATTAATTGCTTTCCCCAATTTTGCTAGTGCTCCCACTGTGGTGCCCTAAGTAACACTGCCGTGGGCTTGTGAGGTGTCCGCAGCTGCACTGGATTAAAAAAAAAAAAAAAACTCTTTGTGGTCTGGTGGTGTCCTCTCTAGAAACCATTTGGAGGAGGTGAATAGAAGAAGAGCGTCAGCATTGTGGAGGCAGTTTTATGGACTCCTGGGAGCCAATTTCCTTTCTATTCTCAGGTCAAGAAGCAACCAGATAGCTCAATGTTTTCCACTAGATTTGAAGATCACCAAGGCCATTTTCTGGGTGGGGGCTGGATGGTGCTTTCTTCAGCAGTCCCAAGAGGGAGAAGAGAAAGAAAAGGAGCCTGAAAAGGTCACGTTCCTGGAGAAACAAGAGGGAGAGGAAAGGAAGTTCACTGTGGAAAGGGTCCCCATTTGAGGCAGTGTTCTGAGAAAGCCCCATTGACAGATGGAAATAACTTCTAGGATGCCTCCTTCCTAGAGACAGCTCTTTCCTCCTCCTTGTGAACTTCCTGCGCTAGGGAACTGGCCCAGGGAAAAGGACTCTGACGTCCATCACGGCTGATTCTCCTGGGGGACTCTTCCTGGCAGACCTTCAAGACGCGCAGGCAACCCCGAAGGAGCCACTGTCTCCGGGTGGGGGGCGCTCTTACTCCCTCCGGCGTCTGGAGGGGGCCAGGGAGCCAAGGCCTGAAGTTCTCCGCTGTGGTTCCGAGGAGATGCTTGTGAACCACACATCAGGGGTGGCGGCAGGTTGGTGCTCCCACATTAAACACAATATGGCCACATAAATGGGCCTCGCTGCGAGAGCTTCAAGCTATATTGTATTCACACGTTGTAAAGTAAAAAATCAGGTTTCTTATTGGGTGGGTGTATACAAACACATGTGGATGCCAAGAAATAGAAACTTCTCAGTTTAAATCAGCTCTGGTGCTGCTCCACTTTCATGGTTCCTGGAGACTCCTATGGCAAGTCACGTAAATCAAGGGGCAGGGATTTCTCGATTGTTCCCAACCTAGGAAGACCTGACAGAAACTGGGGAATCTTCTAATGAGGTTTTCCCAGATGGAGGATGGGCACGGGTTCCTGCAGCGGCGGTGCTTCCCGTCTCTGGGGAAAGAGCCCAGTCCTGGAGGTCCTCCCTGCAGGTGGACCTCCACGCACACCTCCCTCTCTTCGGAAGACAAACTGGCCCCCTTGGTTTTGCAGAGCAAAGGAAGAGAAGAGCTCCCCCCTCTCGTCCAAGTGAAATTCGGGGTTCCCAAACCCTGTGTGTTTGGAAAGAAGGCTCCAGGAGAAGGGGAGGTGCTCCTGGGCCCGGCGCGGACCTTTGCTCCACGGCAGTGCCTCTTATCCAAAGGCAAAGTCTGTGCCCCAGGCCGGTCTCCACTGCGACAGGCCAGCCGGGCTTAAATTAATCTGCAGGCAGAGCTAGGGAAGCGGGCTCACTACCAGGCGAAGGGCAGCCAGCGTGCTCTACTCCTAGGAGCACTTAGAGACCTTGCGGGCGGCCGTGGCCAGCCTAGAAGGAACCCCCCCTCCGCTCCCCTCCCCTCCATACAGACACCTGCCATTTCACCTTCTCTACATTCGACCAAAGGCTGGAGTTTGTGGACGTCTGCTCCTGGTGGAAGATTTCAAAGTCGATGCTGTATTGCACCGCCCTGCAGCAACTAAAAGGTGCGTCCTGGTGCCCTAACTATCCCCTCCCCTCAAGGGGGGAAAAAAAAGTCAGAAGTTTAGGCGTGCGCGCCTGTGTGTAGGGGGAGGGGGTTGTCAAGACCTTGATTTCTGAGAAGAGGTTGGGGAGGAAGCCACAGATACCTCTACCTAGAGGTCACGTCGTTCCTGGGGTCTCTGGACACCCTGCTGCGGGCCGGCCCCGAGCACCCCGGGCGGGCGCTGAGCTGACCCTCCTCGTCCCTACAAAGGGTTTCAACGTTGGGCTCAGGACGCAAGATCTCCAGACTCACGCCCCACCCCCCGGTTTTTGAGACTATGGGTGTAAGAGAGAGTGGAAACCTGGGAGTCCCGGGCCGTAGAGGGATTGGGAGATTCGTGATGACCAAGTCTCCCCTCCCGAAATTTGTAGGAAAGTGTGGGCTCCGCGGTGCGCTTCGGTGCGCGTGCACCTCGCGCGCGCGCGCAGGATGGAGGCTCCCCCCCTCCCCAACATCTAAAAACGGTTCTCGACCCCAAAGAGGATAAAAACCGCTGCCTTGGACAGGAGTGGATGACAGCACCTAAGTGTCTGGGTCAGTATCGCCGTGCATCTGGGCGACGGCCTCGCGGGCGAGCGCAGGGGCTAAACCTGGGAGGCTGGTCCTTGGTCCTCTCCCTGGCGGCGGCGGGACCCAACCGGGGGCTCCCCAGGAGAGAAGGAGCTAAGGAGGCCCGGACGGGGAGAGGGACTTTAGGAGGTGCGCCGGTGCACTAGGGGGCCGGTGGGACTGGCCTGTGAAGCCCAGGGCTGCGGCGGAACCAGGGTGCCTGTCCCGGGGGCTCAGAGCCACAGTGCGGGGGTCGCGTGGACCGAGAAGAGCCCGGGAGGGCTTGGCCCCGCGGCTCCGGCTGCAGCCCTTCCCGAACCTGCGGGTCTGGCGAGGAGGTGGGTGCCCCCGCCCCGCACGGCCCCAGGCGCCCCGCAGCCCGCGCCGGGTTCTGGGGCGGCGGGGAGCAGCGCGGGCTCCCCAGCCCCCGGCGCGGCGGAGCAGCGGCTCAGGTGGCACCGCGGGCAGGGGCGGGAGGGGCGGGAGGGGCGGGGAGGGGCGGGCGGGGGGGCGGGGGGCCCAGCGGCCCCGGCCCGGCAGCCCCGCGCGGCCAATCTCGCGGCTCCCACCCCCTCCCCGCCGCGGCGCGGGAGCCTCCCAGCAACGCCCGCCCCCCGCTCCCACCGCCGGGAGCGCCCCGGGTGGGGGAGGGAGCGAGGAATTGGCCAGCGGCCCGGCCTCCCGGTTCTCCCTCCGCTTCCCCGCGGCCTGACTGCGCCCGGGGCTGCTGGGGCGCCGCAGCCCCTCGGGAACCTGAGATCAGGTAACCTGCCCCCCGCCCCCGCCCCATCCCGGGTCTGGGAGTCCGCGTTCCCGAGGAGGCGCATCTCCCCGGGCTCTCCCGGGTAACCTCCCCACCTCTCGCCGGGGCGGGCGGGAGAGCCCCCCGCAGCCCCCCGCGGACCCGCCCGGGAGCGCCGCGGCCGCGCGCGGAGCGCACCCCGAGCGCCGGGTGGCTGGCGCCCAGCCCGGGGGGGGGGCCGAGCGCGGAGCACCGGGCGGGGCCGCGGGGATGCGGCGGGGGCGCGGCGGGGGCGCCAGCAGCGGCTCAGCCCGGCTCCCCGCGGGGGCTGCCGCCCGTTCGCGCTCCACGCAGGCTCCAGCCGGCGGCAGCATCCTTTAGGTAGGAGCTCCAGGGGGGCAGAGGCGGGCCGGGGGGGGGGGAGCGCACCCCCGCTGCGCCCAAGCCCGGGGATGCTCGGGGCTTTACGAGGGTCGGTGACGGCCGCGTCCTCCACTAACCCCTCCCCGGGTCCGGAGGGGCCGCGAGCGCGGAACGCAGCCTCGGAGCGCGGCTCGGAGCGCCCGCCCGGTCCGCGCCCCCGCCCGCCCCTCCCTCCTCCTCCTCCGGGTCTGGAAGCGCAAACGGAAAATAAAAGACAGGTGGAAGGAGCTGCGGGTCGGAGGTGAGGGACCCGGGTCAGTGCCAGGAGAGAGCGACCGAGGAGAGGGAGGGAGGGAGGGAGGGAGGGAGGGAGGGAGGGAGGGAGGGGGAGGGGCAGAGAGAGACTCATCCATTCCACGGTTTATTATTTGGATTAGCGGAGGGACCCTCGGCGAGACCTGGGGAGCCGCCCGCACCTCTGGCCGCCGCCTGCCGCCCTCCCTCGCCAGGACCGGGGTCTTGGGGGGAAACGTCTGGACCCCAAGGTAGGATCCCACGGGGGGTGGGCTCGTCGGGGCGGCTGTCCGGCCGGGTTGTGCCCCGGAGCGTCTCGGTGCGGCGGCGGGCGGCCCGGCCGCGCCCGCTGACTTGCGCTCGTCTCCGCCAGCGCGGCCTCCGCTCCGGCGCGATCACCTCCTCCGCTCGAAGGATGCTGAACGGCACCACG